CAGGACAAAAAAAAACAACGAGAATTTGATATTGATGCTGAAGTAATAATCGCATTAAAAGAACAACAGAATAATCACTGCGCCAGTTGCAATTGTATAATGCACTGGCAGTATTCGGATAAAGACCCTCGACAATTCACCGTAGACAGAAAAAATAACAGTCTTGGTCATGTCAGAAACAATGTGATGTTGACCTGTCTTGAGTGTAATAGACGTAACGGAGCTAGTTAAGACCATGTGGCGGTAATTGAGTATCGTCCGGAATGACTTGTAGTTGTTCGCGTGTAAAACCACGCTGAGGTGCAGTTGAATCCAATCTGTAGATTGGAGGTCTACCAGTTGATCGCGTTATAGTTGAAATTTTATGCGTAGTAACACTCCATATAGGATCAGTAGCTCTTCTTTTACCGCCTTCAAGCTCTCCTGGTTCGTATAAATATCTCACAGTAACATCACCGAGAAGTGGCTGAGTGCTAACCCGCTGCGGTTGTTCGGGAATATATTCTTTTTTTATTGCAATATTTGGTTTCATATTAATAGTTCGAGTAATCTCGTTATTTAACGCTGCAACTACACTCGGTAACCTTTGGACCCATTCACGAGATCGTTTTTCTTGGATGAATTCTTTTGCATATTGATATCCAAATAACCGTTCTGCAAGAGTTCGATTAAATCGTTCTACAATTGCCTGATCACGATGTAACGCAGTATGTCCTCGTCGTATTGTAACACTATGAGTTTTCATTGTTGATAGAACAGCACCTTGAAACTCTTTGCCAGGATCAACTTGTAATAGATTTGGCCATCTTAGAGGACCTCGTCGATAAATCCTTTCAAATGCAGAAGCGACTTCAGAAGCTGACTTTGTTTTCAATGGTTCTGCTTGTTTAAATCGACTCGCAATATCAACTACAGTTAGCGCGTATTTGTAACCATGGTCATGTGGTAAAAACAATAAATCAGCCTGATGAACTTCATTGGGTACGGTAACATCAAAATGAGAATAATTAATTTGTTTAGGCGGTGGTAGATAAATTTGCCATATAGCTTGTTTGGATAACCAATCTTTTGCAGTGGATTTTTTCACTTTTGCAGCGTTAGCGAGTTTACTGATTGCTGCTTTACCCCTCCAGTATCCTTTCGGAGAATAATAAATAGATTCCATACTATAAAAACACTGGTGTTTTCAATTACCAGCACCTAACACTAATTTGCCTTTCATAGCTGATTTGACCAACCATGAAGCCAATTTTTCTTTGAAGGATTTATCGGGAATAGCATTTAAGGCATGAATTAATTTTACATCCGCGATATGTCTTTGTTGCAAATTATTGCTTTTATATGCAACATCATGAGCATGACATGCCTTATCAATAGCATTTATCGGATACTCACCAGGCCGGGGCTGATTTTGATCATCAAGTCTGATATCTAATCTCGTTCCGGGACCACAGTAGCTATATCCTGGAAGGTGTTTTTCTCCGGGGTATTTTGCCCATGGGGTTCCGGGGAGTTTTCCAAGTTTTGCGGCAATATCACCTCCGAGTTGCTTTTTTTTAAAAATCTAAATTTTTTTGTACCACATGTTACACACTTACCAGTAAGCGCTAGTCTATTGTTTTTAGTTGTAATGGTTGTCTGATCGGTTGAATCAGTACGCTGTTTACACTTAACACAATATAGATCCATAATTTATATATAGAGTTATGAATATAATTGATTTTTCAGCGACTAAAAGAAGAGAACCGGTAAAACACCACGCAGCGCTTCCGAATTCTGTCCGTGCCATTATAATCGGACCATCTGGATCAGGCAAAACACAATTACTGCTTAATTTGATAATGCGATTTATGAAGTGGGATAAATTATATTTAGTTGCCCCATCCGTAGATGATCAACGGTGCTATGAAGTGCTAAAAGATTTTAATAAAAATGCATCAGAAATTAAAGGTGAAAGTGTAATCGACTTTATTACTGATATTAATGATGCACCATCAGTAGAAGATCTCGATGGAGACATAAACAATCTTGTAGTGTACGATGATGTAATGTTAGATAATCAAAAGAACCCTGCTAGAATATTTTCCCGAGGTAGGCATAAAAACACTGACGTGATATATGTCACTCAACGATATACTCAAATTCCAAAAGTGATTCGCGATAACTGCAATATTCTTGCTGTATTCAATGGCGTTGATACACATACGCTACGAAATATTTGGCAGACATGGTGTTCCGATATGGACTTCAATGGATTTAAAAATTACTTTAGTCATGCTCAGTCTGTCCCATATGGATTTATAACAATAAATTTACACGACCCTCGGTCACGATATCGTATTGGACTTGATCAAATATTTGGTTAAATAATTTGTATTAATCAGCAGCAGAGAGGGTGAAATGACAACATATTTGCGACCGTAGATGGCAGCAATTTGAGTGTGGTTATGACAATGTATTTGCGACAAAATCGCTAAGATGGGGTCTTTATTTTTTTTTTGGTTGAAATATGAGATTTCGTAGGAAGGTTCCATTGGCATTCTGAGGCTTTAATCGATTCTGTCGCAAAAATTTGTAGACGTAGATGGCAGCAATTTGGCATTCTGAGGCTTTAATCGATTTTGTCGCAAATATATTGTTGTAGGGTTCACCCTCTCTGCTGCTTATGTGGTGTTGAATAGTATATAACATGGTGCTGGATAATTTACAATTGTGGGCTGGTCACTCCAAGTGGTGTTTTGGACAGTAAATTTGGGTTGTTTGAGAGTACTAAAGCGATTGCTCGATAGCAGATTACTGGGTTTTGCTCAATATATACATCGTGTTAGATAATGTAGTGCAGTACGGGGTTTTAAGCGTATAGCGTTAATAGCGTGTAAGGGATCCTACCCTGCATATGTCAACTGACATTAATATTTTTTTTTTTTTTTACAAATGCAAATATTCCATTATGATGATATCAGGGTGATATTTTTCAGACTCAAATAAAAGCAATTAAATCTGATATTATCAAGTCCATTGTTGTTTTCAAAATCCAGTTGTCTTTTTGTAGGAATACCCAGTTCTCTTATGAACATAAATGCTATCCAATAGTTGCCTTTCTATGTGTTTCGTGTTTATGTATATAACTATGTCTTACACAAAACCTAAACTTAATTATCTTCCCCTTTTCTATCTGAAATTTACGTATGTTTGTGTCTATAGCGTGTGTCCTATCCTTAACATGTTTTACCTGGAGACAGAAAGTTATTTTCACAGCTAGTAGAAATATTCCATGCACGATGCATACCGTCTGATTTTTTTTTCAAACAGAAAAGTTTGCGTTCGTACTCTGTCAATCTTGGACTTGGGACTTGAATTTACTGTTCCAATAACATACATTTTAGTGAAAAAATCTGACTTGTAAAGTTGCAGTAGCAACATTCGCAATCTTGAATGTAAAAGTAAACCAATGCACGCAATAGGTTACCAAACACAAAATGAAATCATATTTTATCTCCAAGATATTGTCTTAAACATAACTTTCTTCGGTGAAACCTAAGTCCGGTATTGATTATTCTAGCTAGAACACAGTAAAGTTCAATCATATTCATCGTGCGGACAAATTGCATATACTCGTACTTGCTATTTCCAGCGGGCCTTCTGGGGCCCCGAGTGGCCGAGTGGTCTAAAGCTCTGTACGTTACGGATCACTACCATCTCACCTCTGTCTGCGTGTGTTCGAGTCTAGGATTCGGCTAATGTAGATATGTGAGAAAGCTTGCCAGTAGCTTCTCGTGGGTCGGTGGTTCTTTCCGGTGATTTCCCGGTTTCTTCCTCCAACATTAATACTGGTCGCCATGAATAGCCTATCGTGTGCTGAAAAATGGCGTTAAGCCCAACAACAACAACAACAACAACAACAACAACCAGCGGGCCGTCTCTCACCTGCGCCTTATTAAATAGAGAGAGAGAATGGAAGCAAAGAAGCATCTTTTTCTCAGTTAAGAAACCGGAAATGAATTGTAAGAGGAAAACATTGTTGAGCAAAAGATAAGTCTTTTCTAAGCTCGTCAAGAAAGGTTTAGATTTCAAATGTTTTATTTTAAATGCCTTTAACGTAAACTTGGCGAATATAACATTTAATACAAATCACAAATTTTGCACATTCACTCCCCCAATCCATCGTCTCATTTAATTTTCACATCGTGCGCCTATTTCACTCCGCATTGTCTAATTAAATGTGAACGATTGGAAAACTATTGGTTTGAGTATTGCTAGATTTATAAGGAGCGTTGCAAGTGAATTGTATGATGAGCATCGTTCTGGTAATCTAGCTGCTATGCAAATATTCTTGTCAGCAAAACAGGCAGGAAACTTGCCTATCACGTTGGTCAGACACTGCGGTTTCAACTCGAGGAAAACTGAATAGACTCCAATAAGTCCACAATAGATGCTTTTAATTTCCCTGCATTGATCTAGGATCTTAACTCTTTCAATTTCACAATGGAAGAGTAGCAATAGTTCTAAGCTTCCTGGTAGTCACTTTGTGACTGATTTGAAAGTGAAACAATTATTCATGACTACAGAACGATTTCCGGTTTTGGATCAACTTTGGGCTTACGTCTTGGGGATGAGGATGATGTTATTGGATGTGATTTGCTCATTTCCTCTTCAAAATCACAAAGGTGAACTCCTGTCTCACCTTCCACCACATTATGAAGTAACACAATGCGTCATCATCGTTTACTTCTGATTTCTCATTGAAATGATATGATCGTTCGTTAATGGCAGATATCAAGCTGGAATTACATGTAATACCGCTCTTACACTATGAGGGCACAGTTGTACATCAAGCGGAATGAATTAGCTATGAATTTCCTCTTCGTTTATTTATTTCTGTAGCGATAGAGCGTGTATTAAAAGCGTTGACTGTGAAGCGAAACAAATTTCGAATAAAAATTTTACTTCTTCTCTAATTCCATCGAGATTTGTTTTGCACGAGAAATTATGTTGAAACCGCTCCGGTAGCCAAGTGGTTAGAGCGTCCCCATCTTATGCGGGAGGTCGTGGGTTCGATCCCCTGTCGAGTCATACCAAAGACTTACAAAAATGGTACTATCAGCTGAAGTGGCTTGGTGTCAGGATAATGTGACTGGGTGGGACATCATGCTTCATGTCTGCGGCATGATGTCTCAGTGCTAAATATCACAAGAAACTGTCACACTGTATACATCGTAGCAATATGACTGAAAGTTTTTTAAAGCTACGTTAAAAATCATGATCACATCATATCACAAATTATGTTAAAAGTTTAAAGAGTAACTAAGTCAATTAAGATAGTCATTCTGCATTGTCGTAAATAATAACAGTCAATATCATAAATCTGTCACATCTAAACGCTATATAAGTTTAGACAGACATAATATATTCTGTTTAAAAAAGCTCAAAGCACTCTGAAATCGATGTACCTTAGTTCTGCAGCTTTCGAAGCTGAACAGAAAATTTTACATTTTCTATAGCAAATTGAGAAGGAAAGAGTGTTGTTTGCTTGTGACAAAGGTGCTATAACGTTGCATGCCAACGTTCCTACATGCATATCAAAATAAAATGGGAACTACCAGTGAATATAGAGCAATACATGCTAAATATAGAATATGAACCTGGTAAGTACATGCATGTCTTTTCTCCATCCTTATATGCATCTATTTTCCCTTCCGTTTGACTCCTTTGACGTCATGGATAAAATAGGATGCTTTGTTTTAACACCACAGTGTCATTTTTGACAATTTATACAGGTTTAACATTAGCTGATGCTAATTCCCGTTTGACTCCATATTGATATTCTTTACTACTTCCGAGACTGATGTGGCTGATATGATGAAATATTTTGCAAAGCGGAATGGTGGATTCTCAATGGAGTACAATATCTTTGATCAGCCATTTCATCGCATATAATTTTTATGTAGTGAGATCTTGGGGCGGGTTAGAACGTTAGCCTAGGATGCGGGAGGTCGTGGGTTCGAACCCCGGTTGAATCATACCAAAGACTTTAAAAATGGTACTAACAGCTACCTCGCTTGGCGCTCAGAATTAAGAGATTAGTGTTTGGACTGGTCGGCCTGATGGCAGGATAATGTGACTGGGTGGGATATGATGCAATGCTACATGTTTGCGGCATGATGTCCCATTTCTAGACATCACTATTAACTGTCACACTGCTGGCATTGTAGCAATATGACTGAAAAATTGTTAAGGTTACGTTATTTAAAAAAAGTTATACGATCTCCAATGCGATAAAAAGTATCGTTTTCAACGTCAATAAAATAATTTTAAAATTGGTTGTGTGTATCGATTTGCTTTAAGTTGCATGAGATCCATTGAAATTATTCTTGATTTCCAGATTACCATGTGAGCAAAACATTCGTTTTTGATTTTTGATGACAACTAGTAAACTCCGATCAGATGCTATCAGGTAATACGTCATTGTCCGCTTCACCCATTTTTAGCAAGTTCTTGAAACAACTAAAATTCTTTCTTATGCAAAATTGAAATATTTGTCTAGTTGCTAAAATAGTTCATCTTTTCTTTCCAGGTAAATGATAAAACATGCAGGATATAGCATGACATGCACATGTGAACAAAAACTAAAACATTTGGTACAGTTCTATCTAGTCTGGTTTGCGTATACAAATATGCAAATTACTTTGCACGTGCATTTCTTTGGAAACAAGTAAAGTTTTCGTATCTAAAATAACACTACTAAATACATTTGAATGTGAAGGGCCCTAGACAATTAAACTCAGTAATAACGAATGAAGGAAGGGAATTGTGAATTGCAGAATTAGTAATTGGTGAGAAAAGTATTCAGTCATTAATCCTTCGAACAGAGGGCGTTGTGTTTGTAATTCTTGGCGAGTATATTGGCAAACGTGATGAAGACTGCACACTTTCCTGATGTAAAGATAGTAAGAGAACTGATATTTCAGTTAGTTTTGTCACAATCTGTCTAGTAAAACACGGAGGCGTACTAGAATTGCTTATCTGCAAAGTGGCTTCCCCTTCACATATGATATCAATTAAACTTTCATTTCACTCTACGACATAGAGAATTATTCCAAAAATTTTCTGATCCTCGCTATACAATCATTCCCCGTCCTGGCGACCCAAACAATGTCATTCAGCAACATCCTCGCTATCCTCATTTGGGACGCGACCAGGTTTAATGGGAACCAATATAACAGAAGACTGTCGTAGTACCCAAAGCTCCTCGACCTACAAGATTTTCGTCTGAAAGAATCCTTGATAGCCAAACGTCCTTATGGAGAGAGGCTGAACATAGGCGCACCCTTTACAAACGTACTGGTGCAGTGTCAATGCGCTCTGTGGCGTTGATGTCACACTTACACGTTCATAAAAAATGAACTACGTGCCACCGTTCACAAGGCACACACCACCGTTTTCATAAATGAGGAGGCCAAAAACGAAGTGATATCTGCTGAGTTAAAAAATATTGCCGTTGAGTTCTTAAGAAGCTGTGCTTGGTCTATGCTTTCTTCCTGCACTACAATAAGAATAGGATAAAAAGAAAACAAAAAGCGGGAGAGCCCAACCAAAGAAAAACCTAGAAACAAACAAATTATTATTGTTAACCTTCTTTTACAAACGTGCGGACCTTACGGTTTGCTAGCGATGGTCAAGAAAACTAGCATCTTAATCACGAACACGCTCCAAAACTCACAACATTGCAGTAAATAGTAAATGAAGGCTATTTTTGAGAGCTGGCATAAAATGTTTGCCCCTTAGGCGGGCAAGTGGTTATAACTCCTCCATCGCCCCTGGGAGATATGAGCGGAGATATCCACCGGCGTTTGCATCAAAATTTCCATTAGCTGCCATCTGCCAATTATGGGGCGACATGAACCTAGAAATACTGGAGGTAACCAGACCGTGACAATTATCACAAGAGAGTACATAACAATTGTTTAGGCATTCTGGAGTATGTACTCAGTTTCGATTTGAGAACTCACTACAAGCGTCTTTCATACAAGCACATATTACGACCCTATAGTCTTAAACTTAGTAACAAAAAGAGTTTTTCCACCCAGCTTTTTCTTGTTTTCACCCACACGTTTTTGTAAAATTACAAATATAACCTATTTCCTTAAAATGCAAATGAAAAATTGAAAATAACTTAAGTTATGGTGAATGAAATCCTAAATAGTCATAAACGTTCTATCACATGTCCAAAATTATCGTGTATTCCAAATAGGTTCCTTTAGTGTTCCGAATGAAGTTAAATTAATGTGTGGATTTGTCAAATAAAATAAATATTATCAAATTCTATCAACGAACTACTGAACTCAGCTGTTTCTATTTCAGATATCAAGCTAAGAATAACTAATTTTTGTCAACTATCCGTTGTATGAAAAATTAAGCCCAAATGCAGGAAGCAGAATGAGTGATGTAAATAAGGTCAGGTCTTTGACTGAGCTACCAGTTGCCAAATAAATCAGGAATTAGATCAGCCTGGATTTTCAAGAACTCGTGTCCTGTAGTCGAATCACATGATGCTTACTTGGATTAAAAGTACAACTCAATACCATGGAACTACCTTGTCTGTTTAAGAATTAAATCATCTTAAAGTACAAACTATCAACTATAAATATCAGTGTTTAATATATTAATTAGTAAATGACACAATCTATAATCATGAAAATTAACACACATACTATAGATAAAAAACACACGATGAAATTAAAAAAGCTATCAGTTGTCACAAATAATCAAAACCTATAGTTTTCTGTAATCTCCATCCCGTTAACACAGCGGCTACAAAAGCAAATATCTAGCTTGAAACATCTTAGTTACAATTCAGTTGAAATACATGTAATGTTTAGCAAAATATGGCGTATCCAAGCATCGATCATTTCTCGCAAGTAAAACGTTTTGCCTTCTCGGCTCCAGGAGAAGGTTGAGTTTTATCCTTCACAGCCAATTTTTTTTGGACTCGTGACCATTTGACTATAATGAACTTGAAATTAATATCAACCCGCATAGTACTATAACACTAATATCTGTATTGTTGGGACCTCCTTTGAAGTGGTACATTAATAAATTATACATAAATTGTGCTGTAGTATTTGCATGTGTCCCGCGGTTTTATTAAAGTAGAACAATGTTGTTTGAGTGTATATGATATAACAAGAATTTTGAGATAAAAGCCTCTAGTCTGTTTTGGAGACGCTATCAGACAGCTGATACACATCACGTTCGAAATGCATTACCTGGGTTGAATCAATCATTTTATTAGACATCTCCTAAGTCACGATGCCATTAGTTCATTGCTCGTCAAATCGACATTTGCAGTATTTAAATTATTTAACTGGAGTTCGTGGTGAAGAGTATTATGCCTAGAATGATAATTATAGTCTCTTGTACTTAATCCTAAAACTATATTGATCATATTTTGTATTCTCACGTTGCAGCACGTTTTAACAAGAGTCTCATACTTTGCAAGATTTCTCCTTTCAACCTATTGTTATAGCTGATTCTGAAATGGAACGTCTTTAAAGGAAACCTATTGGATTAACCGTCTTAATACAGTATATCTAAAAGGTCTAAATTACAAAACCTTGTACGACATTTATAAATGAAATATTTTTTTTTAAAACAATTGTCATTTTCTTACAATTAGTTGATAAAATTTATATATTATTTAATATTGGTATAATTAAAAATTTAAATAATGTTATTATTATTAATATCATAAAATATGTTAACAAATTCTATAAAACTGACAATAGCTCAGATTAAAGACATAATATATTATGATTAATTATTTATAAATACTTTTGCACACAATAATATTTTAATATTTTTTTTTGTATAGTTTAAGTTCTGATAAACTGTTGAACATTCATCATCCAAGGATATATATATATATATATATATATATATATATATATATATATATATATATATATATATATATATATATATATATATATATATATATATATATATATATATATATGTATTCAGTTAATGTGTTTATACATAATAATAAAAATATGAATAAAACGGTTTATCTC